GAGCGACGAAACCACACGCCTCTGTGGAACTCGGGCACAAATCCTCAGAGGGGCCATTTTTCAGAATACTGAATTCGCCGAGCACTTGCACAGGTATACTCTATTTCGGAAGACGAGAAGAAAATCGAGTGCAGACCACACACCATAAGAGACGACGGCAAGAAAAAGCGTTTTTCTTGGCCGTCGTCTCTTATGGTGTGTGGTCTGCACTCTTCTCGTCTTCCGAAATCGAGGATATTGATCTATTATAAACAGGCACACTCAGGTATTGATCTAGAAAGAAAACTTCGATCAATTTCTCTGGAACCACCACTCAACATGTCTGACATTTATATAAGATTAAGACAGTAATGAAAATATTCACATTCATTCATGTTCACAACCTCATTGACACAACTGCATCGAATAAACGAGTTTGGTAGAAATCGCTAAAGTTCACAATTACTCCTGACAACCGAGAAATACGTAGCATAAACAGAGGCATGATCGACCGACTTTCTACCTAGGACTAGAAATCTGGCGAGATGAGAACCAGAATTGAGATCAAGTCAATTTAAGCAAGAGGTCTGATGAGTCTATTGGCGACATCTTCCGGAAACTCGCCTCTTGCCATTGGAAATAATGATGATCAGTTAGTTTAGCATGTCGCACAGACGGAACACTAACGGTGACGCTTTCCGATCCCTTGGAAACGTCGTCCGCTTCTGAAGTCGTGCACACAACGTTGCCATGCGATTGAATGCGTCCTCGGAATCGTTTGTGGGCTCATCGTACAGATCAAACTCGAATGGATCTGAAAAGTAGCGCACTCATTGGAACATGTTGCAAGTATATTCAAAATTTTCGAAGGTAAACTTCCGCCAAAAAACTATTTTGCGATTTCACATCCATTTTAGGATGGCTGTGCAGTAACTCAATATTCATTGAGAATTGCTGTGGCATGGCACTCAGATACAATCTGACTCTAAGCAACGAATTAAGGCAACAACTCCAGATAAGGTGTGTCGAACAACCTATTCTGTGGATAGGATAGAGTAGCACGCGAATATCACAGCGTGCCGCTGGCACGGCTCGAAAATGCGCAACAATGGCGCTAAAGCTTACAAAGTGAGCTAATGGACGAGATACCTCGCGCACACCCCATGACACGCAACGTGGATTACGACGTAGCGGCTACCCAAATACGCGCGGGTTAGTGGAGCCATGGAGCAAGCAAGTTTAGACAACTCGTCCGGAACGCCCTCCCGCATCTAAGGGAGACGAGAGAGAGTCCTTATAAAGCCTACTTAAACAGTTTGCTCTGCTTCTTTTTTCATTTTCAGTCAACTCGGCATTCACAATTCATTATCGACCGATGTTACCCCACAAATATGATCTGGAGTTGTTGCTTCAAGGGCTTTGCGTACGTAAATCACGTCACTGTACCTCTAAGGTAAGTCGGTACAACCTGTGCTTCGTAATATTAATAGAAGATATAATTCGTTTAGCGGAGAATTATATGATAGAAACTAGTTTTTTGGAAATTAATCCTAGCGATCTATAAAATTCATCACCCGAAATTGATGGCGATTGACTATATGTTCGATGTACACATGGCATATGAACGTGAACGGTTTCGGTTTGTTCTTTCATTCGCTTGGAGGTACAGGTAGGCAAATTACGGGTAACCGCTGTTTCGGACAATGAACAGTGAAGCTTACAGACACACGAGGAGTATGAAAAAGCTTTTTTTGGTTTTGAAGGACTTTTGAGACTATGAAAAGCTCTCTTACAAAGTCGCGGTCTGTGTTGTGCATTAGGCAAGTCTCTTCGTGACGCTTCGACACACGCGTAGACAGGCTGCGCTCGAGCTGACCCATGGGTTTCTGATTCAAGCGTCTAAACGTCTCGATATGGTGATCGGCCTTGCCTACGTATCATACGAGATAATGCCACAAATTCATTTGGGCGGGAATAGATGGCCCTACTTCAAGCGAGTGAATGCCAAGTATATGTTTAACAAGTTTCCACCACTCGCCATGTTCCTGCCCACCGTCCTGCTGAAATATTAGGTGATTACCAGCGAAGGTCTTTTTGCCCGGGACATCGACTTATTCTGATTGAGTCCGAGATATTCCGTGATGTCTGATTTTTGCCTTGTGGTGCAAAGAAAAAGTGTTCGAACGCCGATGTGATATTCAGAGATCATCACTTATTTCAAATTTGATGTCCTTTGTATGAATGATGTTAGCTGCTAGTTGCGTAAATATATTCTGTCATTTTGATTGTTTGAACTGCTAGACTGTAAACACTTTTGAAAAACAGTCAAATGACGGCCTGCGGATGCGAACTATTTGTTGACTTCTCCTCTCCTTTCGCTTATAGTTATTCGGTTCTTCATGACTTCAATCTGGATGTTCTGTTGACGGATAGCAGCACTGACGGAATAGCATCCGCGATATTATTGTCGACCTTTTCTTTGTCATGCAATCGAACACCTTGGCGGTACAAGCTGATGATTGCTCCACGATCAGCTGAAGACTTCGCCATTTCAAAACTTATGCAGTCTGCACGGTGGAATCCCGAACATTGTTGAGCGGTGCTCTTTGCCACTGCACCACTCCCACCCCTAATTATTAGTACTAAAAGAAAACATAGTAATAGCGATAGTAATACTGAAGATAATGACCGAATAATTCGACACCTTGGCTGGCAAGGTGTTAACTGGATGCAGTGCTATACGTTAATGTGCCTGAGAGCTTCGGAAGGGGCAGATTATGTCGACCCAAAAAAATCGACATCAAAGATCGCCGATATAAAGATCGATAAAAATGGCATAGGGGTGAAACTCCAGTTCGGGGGGCCACTCCATTTTTTCTCCAATACTCAAGATAAGGATTAGAGGGCTCACGACACGTAATCGACTCATTTAAAGTAGACTTCTGATAAATATTGGTGTAATGGGTGAGAAACCCTGAAACGTTTTCACATTTCCGCCTGCCATGACCCAAGGGAACGGTCCTGGACCAGGAGAAAGGAACCTCCGCAAAGGGCTAAGGGTGCAGGAGCTCCAGGGTGGATCACCTGTGCAGAAAAGTGGATGGGATGTGGGCAGGTAGTGTGGAATGTAGGACATCCACCGGTCCTTATCAAAAGTACGCTCGAAATGAGTCGTTCACTTATTATCTTATCCGTAGTGTTCGATAGCCCAAAGAACTGCTCTCTAGTACTACGGATAAGATAGCAATGGAGTGGCCCCCCCGAACTGGAGTTTCACCCGAATAGGGTTAGTGTGTATCTATCTTTCAGAATAGCGCTTCCTAGCTTTAGGAAATTTCTGATTCTGATTTTTGAATTATTCTGGTACGCGTCCATTATTTCCGGCAAGTCGTCGTACGTTGCCTATGAACGCGGTCACAGCGCTCTCCAGTGAACAACAGGCTAATTTATTACCTGCACATAACCATTAATCCTTAAGTGCACATCTCTAACGATTCTGTTTTTGGGGACATGAAAACATTGGTCCATCTGTGTAGGAATGATGTCAGAAAGGAACTGGGCTGGAAAACAACTTAACTTTTTGGAAGGATAAGAAGAGGAACTTTTGCACACGTTTCGTTTGCGCTCGTCTATTGTTCCTAGCATAACGTGCATGCCCTTAACTACCATGTCCTGTTATTTCTTTCATTGAAAGCATATTCCAAAATACTAGATATGGCTGTTCGCTTGGAAATGAAAGTGGAGGCCGAAGTTAACCGCAATTGAAGTAAAGTGCAAAGAGTAAGAGCGATCTAGGTAAGGGTCTTCTCATTCCCCGCTGGTTGGCGACTCTTCGAGACAGTCGTCTAACAAGACAACACATAGACACACGGGATTCACAAGGAGCTCGACTGAGAGAGCAGACTTGAGGAAGGAGAGCATAGGGACGAGAGAGGAGCAGACACCTGGTCGCGAGGCCATTCCACTGTAGACAAGAGGACAGCGTCCAGCAGCAAGAGTGAAGAGAGTCCTCATGGAGCTCTTTCGCATAGCGAGATCGACACGTGTTCTATCTTTCTGAAAAAGTCCATTCCGTCCATAGAAGAACTGATCGAGCTGGGGCCATATGCAGCAGTACCCGATCGGGGATGGGTCAACAGAACTATGCGTCTGAACTCTGGTCTGACGCATTATCCTTGGTGAGGTAGGCGACTGTCAATCAGTCGAGCCTGAAGTGAAGGAAGGCTAGCTTGGCCTGGGAGAAGGGGACCTGCACCAGTGATGGTAAACCACACCAAAGCGCCATTATTATGCCATTTGATACTTACAAGGGAGGTCGTTCAGAGTGTACCAAGCTTCTTCAAAACGGTCGTTTGCATGAT